GCCGGTACTCTCGTGAGTACGTCCGCTTTGTTGGCTGCGGACGGGACGGCCTGTACGCTCACTTGTAGGCCGTATTCCTCCGCCAAGGCTTTTAGCGTGCCTAGTCTTCGTCTGATAAGCATTTCCGACGCAGCTTTTGCGCGCACGCGTGCCTTGCCGCTGAGATGATCCGTTATCCAGTGACACACAGTCCGAGAGTCCGTCACGAGGCTGACTTTCGTCACTCCCCACTGGAAGGCTATGTGCACCCCCTTTCAGGGCAGCATCTAGCTCTGCCATATTGATATGGGCCCACTCATCTCGGCGGAGCCAAGAGGCGTCCTCTACCACTTTCCCTCCGATTTCGACGGCTGCGCCCACCGCCACCGAACTGGCATCCACCCAAACGCGCGCCTCCTTCCCGCTCACGTCCCAGCGACCGCGGGCTGGGTCCGCCTCGTCGACCCACCGAAGGGTCTCCTGCACCGCCTGGCGCACGCGCGCGTCTGTGATTTCTTCGTCCCACGACGGTGTCGCCTCGTTCGCGAGCCGCTTCATAAACGAGGCGGCTGGCCGCAGCCAACCTAACACTGGAAGGTGCCCGACCAGGCGGCCGCAGAGCGAGGACACCTGTCGTTTTGTGAGTGGCTCTTCGACTCCTCCGATCTCGTTGTCTCTTCGCCAGATCAGACGGCCGCCCTCCTCCTGCACGCGCAGTCCCAGCACGCGAGAGCTGTTGGCCAGCCGCTCTGGCGGTTTACAGTCCAGCCCGTGCCGACGCAGGTGAGCCTTCGCCCCCCCCCCCCCCTTCACGGGTCCGAGTTGTTTCTCGTCATAGGGGTGCAGCCAGCCCTTCTCAATCCACTGCTGGAGCTCCTCTTCATATTCCGCGCGAGACGCCGGAGGGACTCGATATTCTGTCACGCCGTTCCCTTGTAGTCCCTCCGGTTCGATCCCGTCGGCCCACTTCCACGTTTCTGTTCACTGGCGCGCCTCCTGATCGTAACGCGCGCGAAAGTCTGCCGCTTCCACTTCCGTCGTGCCAGATGCCACGGCAGTACAGTCTGACTCGACACCGAACTGCGACCCTGCCGGAGAAACAGTGACGCCACCCAACGCTTTAATCGCATCCATGCCCAACACCATACTAAACCCCAGAGACCTGGCAGTTATCGCCAAAGCGCTGACGTCAGCGCGCGCGCCACACTCGAGCTCTACACACGCTGGCCCGCTACCCGCGCATAGAAACTGGTTGCCGTTCACTGTGAGCACGCTAGCTCTTCCGCCTCCAAAAAAGTCCCTCCGCCAGTCTCGACACAACGAGGCATGCACGAGGCTACGGGAACAACCTGTGTCCAATGTAGATGGATCCGTTAACGCGTAGTTGCCGAGTTGGGAGAGCACGAACACGGACCACGGAGAGAAGACTGGCGCTCACGCCTCCCCTGTTTCCCGGGAAGCGGGCCGCTACGTGACCTTCTTGTCTACACCTGAAGCAGACGATGTCGCGCTGGCACCAGCGAGCCAGATGGCCGCGCTCGCCGCAGCGGAAGCAGGACGCCGGCTGCTGGGCGCGGCCGCCGCCGCGCGCTCCTTGGCGTGACAAGCCGACTCTATCGCTCGGTGCAGCTGCTGCGCCCGCCATAGCCGCAGCGGCCGACGCCGCCGCTGCCGACTCCTCCGCGACCAGGGCGCGTACCCGGCCCAGCACCTGTCAGGCCCAGGGCCTCCACGCGCGTGCTGGCCCTCAGCGCTTGCCGCACAGTCTCTGGCAAGCCAGTTACGAAGGAGCAGATCAACCCCGTCTCAGATAAACCGCCAAACAGATTGGCCAGCCTGCGCAAGTCTGCAAGGAAGACGTCGACGACTTCGCCCTCTTTGAGACGCCTAGCGACGAATTTCTCGTATGCGTCAAATTTGCCGACGGCGAAAGCCGTGATCAGGGCGTCCTTTACTTCGCTCGGCTTCTGCTTCTCCTCATCGGAAAGTTCCTGGTACACGCTGAATGTCACACCAGTGAGCCGGAGAGGAATCACGTTTTGCAGGTCGCTCACTCCTTTCAGTCTGCACGCTAGGTCCATTTTATCGAGCCACTCCGCAACGGATTCCTGACCACTGAACTCCGGAATGATTCTCAAGTCCAAATTCCCAGGTTCCGCCATCTTGAGCGCATGTGCCGAAATAGCTTGTAAGAAGCAGCTAGCGGATCTCAAAAATGCTATGTATTTGAGCCACGCAGCACGTCACTCCTGCTGGCCTCCAGCACCGTACACAGCTCGGTACCTTGCCATCCAAGCTACGCGCCCCCTCGCCGCCCCCTCCCCGACACTGCTCTCGCCAAAAACGTTTCTCCTTCCGCTGTTCCTCGCCCCTTGCGCCCACTTCGCCGCTTCCGCCGCGCACCAGATGAAGGTTTCCCTTCACAGTCATCTTAGGTCAATGACCTATTATGACCTCTAAGAAGTCAATTGAAGATATATGATGCGTTTCCTGCCATCAATGAATTCAAAATGAGCACCGGACAATATCCCATACAGCAAGCCCTAGAGCAATAAAACAGGTTGGTTTTGACCTTAGTCTGACCTTCATACCTGACCTTGGGTCAACTTAATTTGTTTGTCCAATGTTTGTGTTGCCTAATAAAGCATCTCAAAGATGCATAGCTTCGTCTAACACTCCACTGTTGCATCAGATTGAACTATTCACTAGAAATTGACTTTGCTGAAACCATGGCCTGACTTTGACCTGCCATAAGTCAGTGACTGTACAAGTCATGTCTGTTTTTACACCAAACGATCCGCTATCAATTGTGAACAGCTATGCAAAATTTGGCGCGGTTAAGCCGCTTCGTTCGGAAACCATTCTGGAAAGCCTTCGGGGGGGTCAACTTGACCCCCACCCGAGCGCGTGTTAAAAAACTGCACCTGTTCGGCTGGCTATGGGCCCCCGGAGCCAATGGGCCCCTTCGGGGCCCAAAGGGGAGCCATGCCCCTTGGCCCCCCTTTCTGGATCCGCCCCTGCTTGTTACCGTATGTTTTTGGGGATACTTTTGTTGTTTTCTACTTTTTTGCCCCTCCCCGAACTCAGTTTGCCATTGATGTCGGACTGTCGTGGGGAGAAGGTGCGTGAAGCCTGAAGTGTCATTCAGGTGACCACGACGAAATCTCGAATGGGAGCACCGTAAATCCGATATGGGACCCAAAGGGCTGGCTAAAGGTCAGTGAGGGGGCGCGGGTCGGACCCTCAAATACCAGCCAGAGGGTCCATTGCACCGATTGGGCCCCGGCCTGGGCCTGGGAGCCCATTTCCCAAGCAGGGACAAGGTCAGGACCCACGATTAACATTGGTCAGTGCACCCCGAGCCAATGAGGGACCCCTGTGTCGGCCAGGGGGACACAGCGCCTAACCGAAGGTCCGGTGTTGACAAGGGCCCCCAGTTGGTCAGGGAGTGCACGAGGGTGTCCGAAGAGGGACCGATGTGCCTTTCAAGACTGACGATAAACGGCCCGGTGGGAAGGCTGAATGGCCGTAAGGGTTGAAAGGCTGCAGGACATCCTGTCCCGCATGGCTGTGACCCCAAATGTCAGCCAATATCTCTCTTTCGCCGATTGTGGACCCCTGGGACAGTGCGGGCACATATTTCGGCCGGAGACCACTACACCGAATAGCTAGACTTTGTGTTGACTCCGTGTTGTTCTGAGCCCTCGGGCCCCATTTCTCTAGCAGGAACGAGACCGAGGCCCGTGATTTGCATTGGTCGGAGTCCCTACAACAATGAGTGGTCTTTTGCCGGTCAGGCCCGCAAAGTGTCCGACAGCGGTCCCGTGACGGAAGGAGTCCCGATTCGGCCAGGGGTGACCCGGGGCCCTTGCGGGGCCCTTTACCCTGCTTTAACGAAGGGTCCGTTGGCTAAACATGGGTCTCCGTGCCAGCTATTGGATCACCTGCGGCTATCAGAGACCTTGTTGCCCCAATGAGGACTCTTGCGCCTATTCCGGGTCAAATGCCCCGGCCAGAAGCCGCCAGAGGGCCTTCCGCTCCGGGGAGGGCACCAATGTAGAACGTATATCTGTGAGGGCCTCCGGACGAACTCATTAGGCGAACCTGCCTCCATGTCACCAGAATGGCAGCTGGCAGACACCCCGGGCTGGGACGGCTAACTGTTCACTCATTGATTCTGAGTTACGGTTGAATATTCCCAGATGAAATAGGACGGCCTATGTTCACCCAAGTTGCCGGCCTCATTTAGATTTACGGTTTACGGATTTACGGATTTACGGATTTAGATTTACGGATTTACACATACCGCGTGCGAGACCAGCACGCTAACTATTCATCCACTGGAGATACGGGCCGGTTGGCCGAAAATTTGTGATCAGAATAGGACTAGTTCAGAGTAAGTCGATGGATTTCGTGATCGTTTGATGCCCATCACGCATAGAGCCGACTTTTTCCACGGGATTCTGCATGTCCGCACTTGCTTCTCTCTAAGGCTCGCAATCCGCGTATACTTGACACGTGCAACCATCCGAAATATTTTTAGAGGGTGCATAAGCCCGTTGCGTAGTCATCCTCCATTCTGGAGAGTGTATAAGCCTGGTGCGTAACCGCCCTCTGTTTTGGAGGGTGTAGAAGCCCGTTGCGTAACCGCCCTCCGTTTTGGAGGGTGTATACGCGCAGCCCGGCCCGCAGTGTTTCGTACCCCCCCCCCCCCCCCCCCCGTGACGAAATCCTGAATCCGTCCCTGAAACCCAAAACATAAACGTACAAATGCTTTGGACTCACAACGTCCTTGCTTAACAAGCTTCTTTTTTCTTATCGGATGGTGCCCATTTGGTAGACGACGGAAGTTGAGTACAAAAGTTGGACTAAGGCCGCAGCTGCGGTGACAACTGTGGCTGCATTTTAGGGAGCCCCGTCCTCAACTTGTTTACAAGACCTTGCCGAGAACATCAGTCAGGTGCGATACCGGTGGGTGTGTGTGGTTCGTACCAAAGTAGCGTTAAGGTATGTGGTATGTACCTTGACCCATAATCATTGCCGTATACCGACGGATGAACGTTAAGGGAAAATTGTGCAGAGCATCCAAAAAAGGATGTTTGGTACGTTTGTATGTGACGTGTGATATTCAGCCTGCCAGCGTAAATGGCAGCGAATAATCGTGTGTGAGGAGTTCAAACCCTTGTTATTTTTGCTTCTTAGGCTGCTATTGGAGGTCGGAAATCAAATACGCATAATTCGAATGGATTGGAATGCATTTTAGTCTTGCAAAGCTGTAACTGCTCAACATGAGTGTTTGGACTGAAAATCAAGGCTCAAATTGTTGGATCCACACTGAGTCACGAAAACCATTATTTGAAAATTTAACTTGAGATGTGAAATGCTGCTTAGATCCCCATCTACATCAGCCTAATAAAATGCTCATGTTTAGATCAGTCTGACATTATGCTTACTCTACTGTCCTTTATTAAGTTATCTTTGAGTGGAGCAGTTGGAAATTGAGAATTACATCTTCAGATTTACTCAGCCAACTTCCATCTACCATATGAAGTGAGTTTGATTCCTCTTTTGGTTCTATGAAAAGGTTGGCAATCAAGCACCAATTGTTTTGTGGAAAATTGTTACATTTTAGACAAACTTGCACTGTTTATAAATTGATATTGGAGAAATAAATTACCACCCTGATCTTTGAGAATTGGTCCAGGAATATATTTGAGGTAATTATTTGGTCTTCTTTGGTACTTAAAACAGTGAAAAAGCATGGAATTTGACTACAATAAAGTGTTGACTACAATGCCTCAGCCATATGATGCAGTTTTATCTCAAAATATATGCCTACCACTGTGCTCAATATGACAGGATAAACTTCTGAGGTATGTAAGGAAAATGACAAAGCTGCAGGGGAATGCCAGCATAAGTGTTTAAGCTGGGAAGCTGCAAATGACAGTCACAGCCATGGGATTTTGAAAGCCAATTGTTAGATTTAGTTCTGAGTCCAGTTGTTGGATGTGGTGATGTAGCCATGCCTGATTGAAGGAAATGACATGATTCATTTTCTGCTCTGGGGATCCATGCATCATGTGTGCATCAGCCAGTGGAGCCAGCCATGAGGAGTGGGCATGGGGAACAGTGTACCCATGGGTGAAAAGGCACTGACCTTGATTGGCTGGCAGGTGTGAGAGTTGCTTCAGTGAAGTTCTTCAATATTTTATGCATTTGTATGCAGCCTTCTTCCAAAAGTATTATTGACTGCACTGAGCTCTGTTAATTAGCACAATTAAGGGTGATATGTGGTGTTGAAAAAATTCAACTAGCATGTCCTTTCTTCACTCTGCTCACAATTTTAGTCATAAGGCACTCTCCAACACATGTCAAGTTTTGGTTCTTGTGAAGTGGTATGTGGGTTTATGTTATGTATTCCTTGTGAGTCCTTAGTCCTTATCCTCATGTAAACCACCTTCTTGACATACCAGTGGACCTTCTAAATTGTTATGTAAGACTTTGTGGTATCAACATTGGCTTAAAGTGTTCCTCCTTCAGTGTGTATCCAATTGTATTCAATCAAAATGTACTCTCCCACTCACAGAAAGTTTTGGTTGCTAAAAAATGGTATGTAGGCTTGGCTTAGGCAGTTCTTATTAATCCTTAGTCCTTATTCTTGTGCAGATCATCCCACCAGGAAATCAGTTGATATTCTGATCATTTTATAGCTGAGTGTTTCTCTAGTTTCTTCCATTCCAGCTTTTGCTGCATTGTTGACTGCATATATGACATAGGCAGTGATTTGTGAGCCATGGTGCAGCATGATGGTCACCATCACACCAGCCATCTTCATATGCTGGCAGGTAACATGGCAGTGAATGTATACTCGACTGGCGGTAGCGCAGACAACCTGAGCAGGCATGATATGCTGGCCTGGCTAAATGACTGCCTGCAGGCCTCCTTTGGCAAGATCGAGGAGCTCTGCACTGGCGCCGCCTACTGCCAGTTCATGGACATGCTGTTCCCGGGTAAGCTCCGGTGTCACCATAGCCGGCTCCATAGTGTGCCGACAGCACGGGACGTCCGCGGATTGCCGGCTGGCCTGTGGCATGCGTGTTGTGGCGCTGGAGACGAGAGGAGGGATGAGAGATGCTCTCTTTATGCTCTCCTGCCTCCTGAAGTGCTTTGCCGTGCCCCCCCCCCCCCCTCCCCCCATTTGCCTCTGGTGCTGTGTTGATCTGAGGCCTGCCTTTTCCAGAAATTAAGCAGAAGGGAATATAACTAAATGGACATGGTTCATTCTCGGACTGAACATGGGAACGGGCATGGAGGGGGTGGGGGTGCCAGGTTCCCTTGCCTTTGTAATCCAGTGCTATGCTACTGGGCATTGCATTGGGAGAAACTTTGAAATTCTTGTTGTCTTCTCCACATTTTTGTCCTTTGCCCCTGTTTTAGCTTCTTTTGTAATTTAGCAGCCCCAAAATATGTTTGAGGGGAGACAGTGTTTTTGTTTTGCACCTGCAATAGGAGGGAGCTACGCATCCCATTCAGCTCCAAATTCAGAGATGTGTGTGCATTCTGTGTACATGATGATAGCCATCATGTAGTGTGATGTGGTTTCACGGATTCAAAAAGGATATAGTTATTATGTAGACATTTTGTAGTCTTATGTAAAGTGGCATTTAGCGCACAAACTTACTGCAGGCAAACATTTATAGCTGTTTGAAGCATGCGATTTAGATCTAGGATTGATTTTAGCAGTTCTATCATGTAGCGCCCTGTCAGCGGAAGAGCCGAGAGCCTTTTATGCTGGAAAAGTGTTCGCATGGACATCAGACTGTGTTGTTCCTACGTCTTTTGGGGCGTGGTGGGTTGTTGAGGTCTGGTGACCGTTTTCTTCTAGGTTCTGTCGCCTTGAAAAAGGTGAAATTCCAGACGAATTTGGAGCACGAATATATACAGAACTTCAAGACGCTCCAGGCATCTTTCAAGAAAATGAGCGTTGACAAGGTACACGACTGATTCTTATATGATCGCATATTGCATTGCTATACATTTCGCGACATTTAGAGTTTCTCATAGTAAGAAATGCATATTACCGTCACAGTATGCCCGAAATCAGCACGCCAACCAGGCGCGCTATAATACAGCCGTGCATTTCTCTCCAGATAATCCCCGTCGACAAGCTGGTCAAGGGCAAATTCCAGGACAACTTTGAGTTTCTGCAGTGGTTCAAGCGCTTCTTCGACTCCAACTACGACGGCTCGGAGTATGATGCGGCGGCGGCACGGGGCGGCGAGCCGCTAGGGGGCGCCGCGGCGGCGGGCCGCCACGGCGGCGGCGTTCGGCGCAGCCAGATGGCTCGGCCGGCGCCTCGCGCCGCCCCGCACAAGCCCGGTAATCGCGCGACGGGGCCGGCCACGCGGCAGGTCTCGGCCCGGGAAACGGCGGACAGCATGTACATGGGAATTGCGGCTGGGGCACACTAGGAAAGCAGGGTCTGTCAGGTAGCGGCCATCTTTCGGGAAAGACGGTGCGAGATATACCAGAAGGGTGCGGCGGGGATATATCCGGCGACGAGGAGGCTCATACCTACAGGAGAGACGGTAACGGAGACCCACTGGCGAACGAGGGTGGCTGCCACAAGGACGGGTAGCGGGACCCTTTAAACAATGGTAACCTGGGGGGAAACGTTGGCAAAGCGTGTTGGTCCAGAAGAAGCGCGCGGAAATCGTTTAAAGACCATTCCCACGGACGATATAAAGGTCAGCTGGGCGGCGCTCAGTCTGGTCTGCGGTGTGGGTAATCGAGACTGCGCGACCGACCACATCGTACTCGGGCTTCACACGGCCCCCGTTCTCGCGGACATTGTTCGTTGTTGGTCCATTGGAATGCGCGATGTTGACGCACCACCTGTGCTGCGGCTGACCCCCGTGCCGGGTCCCGTGCAGCGGCCCCGCGGGCGACTCCCGCGGCGAGACCAGCGCCCCGAGCGGCGGCCACCGGAAGGGCAGCTGCCGGCGACGGCCGCCAGGCGGAGGTGCGTGGCTCGCTGAGTCTGAAAAACCAGACGCTGACAAAGTCGTCGGCCTTGTGTGGTGTGCACGGTGACATGTTCAGATGACCTGCCGGGCGCAGGTCACGGCAGGTCACAGGTCGCGTTCTCGGTACTGGCTCTCGGGGATACGCTCCACTAGAAGGGTTTGGACGTGAAGTCTGTGGCGCCGATGGCGTTCTCGTAGACCTGCCTCCTTATCGCCTCGGGATGCGTATGAGGAGGTCATCATCACGTGATGTTACCGCGTCCAGGGAACCACCGAGTCTTCGGGACAAGACCTATAATGTACTGATTACCCTCAAAAACCAGGTGGCCTCATCACACCAGCTATCGTTCGTCGCCTTGTCCCAGCGGCAGATGGCCGCCGTCATGGCAGACCCCTGATGTCCGGCGTCTGGTGATGCTGTGGCCGAACGCCTGGCGGGGCCGGCGTGCGCATCCCAATCCACTGATCACGCTCCGCCACCACTCCCAGGTAGAGGAGCTGTCGCTGCAGCTGCAGGATATGCGACTTAACGTGGAGGGGCTGGAGAAAGAGCGCGACTTCTACTTCGGCAAGCTGCGTGACATCGAGGTCATTTGTCAGGAGGAGGAGGGAGTCGACAGTGACCTCATCCAACGCATACTCAGCATCCTGTACGCCACCGAGGTGCGCATAGCGGCGGTCGGAGGTGGAGGGGGGGGGGGGGGGGGGGGAGGAGGGAGGGAGGGGGAGCGGCGCCTCTCCAGAGACGTCCCACTCGGGTCCACCTCTCTGGAGACGACCCACTCGGGCCCGCCTCGACGTCCAAATCGGGTCCGCCTCAATTTACCACTCGGGCCCGCCCCTCCGGAGACGTCCCACTCGGGCCCGCCTCGACGTCCCACTCGCGGCCCACCTCTCCGGAGACGTCCCACTCGGGCCCGCCCCTCCGGAGACGTCTCAGTAAGCAGCACACGAAAATCCACACCACAGCTTTCGTACCGGCTATCCGTCCGTCGTACCCAGGTACAGTCTTGACTCTGAAAGGACGCCATCTGGCCGCGTCAACATTGGCGTGCGGCTGCATCAGCAGCGTTGCCTCACTGTCAGACTTGGTGCCGGATCCGATCAGCCGCTGCCGTCGGCGCGTCCAGGCGTAACCCCGTCGTGAACAGACGAGGCTCGCACTTTGTTAAAAGTCTCCGAAACGCGCTTTTAAAAACGGACTCGTGGCGCAGCAGCAGGGGCTCGGCGGAACGGGATGAGCATGCGTCGACTCGGGAAAAAACAACAATCGCATAGGCAAGTATAAGCTTGCATCGCTTCTCCTGGCCACGCACGTATCACGGTGCCGCACTTACAACAGATTCGACAGTTTTAGAGCGTTTTTCTCAGGATGAGTGTCAGATCCCGGTGACCCGAGCAGGCAGCAGCGTGAAGCCGACTACGCCACGTTGGTCATATGATGTAGGTGAATGTAACGCTCATAAATCATCCAGTCAGCCCAACACCTAGGCGCATGCCAGCAATCGACTGGGATGTGACCAGTGCTGCATTTTTCAACAATCTCGAATACAACACCTTGTCGCCTAAATCAAGCAAGCTGTGACCATGAAAGTGACTCATATGTAAAGCTCTGCTCACGGTGATCAAAGTCCTCTCTAAAATTGTACATTTCAAAAGAATTTGGGTTCCAACATCCCAAAATTTCTGTCGCTGCCCCTTTTGTCGGCGCAAAACGCATCACTTCTTTGTCGACCTGCCGCCGACTACGCATTGGCATTGAAGTTACGAGTTTGCTTTGTTGGTCCGCCGTACGGTCGCTGTCAGCGTGCCACCGGGCATCTGGCACCCGAGGGTCGTAGCTAAACGGGTTAGGCATCCAGTTCGGCTGGCGCTGATGCCTGTCCGGTGTGTGACTGACCGCCCGCGCAGAAGCAGTACATGGTGAGTAGCACAAGGGCCGGTGGAGCTAGCTCGGGTCGTAGTGACTTCCAGAACTTCGAAGACGGAAGATGACATATAGCTCGGTCGGCTAGACGTTAAATGAGTATAGATATACTGTATGAAGTTCCCAACAAAATTTACCTCAACTGATCCGAGCTCAGAGCTCTTAGGAGTTCAGGCCATGTAATCATATCAAGTGGTAGCTGATACCCTCAAACAACGTGCGCATCGTGCAATGCCGACCCTCTATTGTGCATGCGTTTCGCCCATGTTGCATGCAGACGCTAGGCCGAAACGCACTGAGTGATTGAGCGCCCGGTCCACACGCCCCGACAACGCCTAGGGGACGGTGGCATAAGTTGGTGCAAGAGGCGGCCGGATTGCTACGCCTTGCTCTGCCAGTGGAGTGTGTGAGCACCTCCGCGAGCTGTGGGAAGCAGGGGCCTGTATCGCTAACCCCCGCCCCTCCTCCCTGTCCCGCCGTTGACCGCTGCCACCGCCCGCAGGACGGGTTCGCCGTGCCAGACGACGAGGACGGGGTGCCGCCGCCGCCTGGCGAGCAGGACGAGTACTAGAACCGCCCATTCCAGCCGCCAGGTGGCCGGAGCGCGCCGGTCGCCGACGGAGCGCACCTCACCCAGATCCAGGCCCGGCCCGGTGGCGGGAGCGCACTAACCAGTGCCGGGCGAGAGTCCGGCGCGGCTTTAACCTGCGCGAGCGGCCGGGGCCAGTCAGCGCGCGCGTGTCACTGTTTTACCTACCGTCTCGAGCCGCGACGGTGGGATGTTGTTTGCGTCTGCTGCTGCTCTGCTGAGCTCACGCTTTGAGCCTTCTAATGCAGGTGCGGAACGGGTTGATGTGTCGACCGACAGTCCAAGCGGGAATATCGGGTCGTTAGGACTGTAACTATGTTTTGCACGTGGTTTGACGTTTGAATTGAACTCTCATGACGTTGAATGGTGACAATAAGGATGCACATCACCTCTCTGTTCAAAGCACTTGTTGTGCGGGATATTAACTGATCATGACGTAGCGTTGTGTGAGATATGCGCGCAGCTTTTGCGAAATTTGCTTGCAGCATTGCTACATTTTTAGAAGTGCCTTCCCGGTTTGTCGTAATCGTGCAAGAGCGTTATTGGCCATCTATTGACATTCCGGCGGCCCATGTGCAATGTTGCAAACAATGTGCAATGTGTACATAATACATGATGCTTCTGCCGCAACCGCTTCCATCCGTAATTGGACGCCGGCGCTCTGGACCCGTGAGCTTGCGATTAGTCAGGGTCCACGGATCCATCGTGTAGGGTCCAGTTCGATTAGTCAGGGTCCACGGGTCCGTCGTGTAGGGTCCAGTGCGTCTGGACCCGTGAGCTTGCGATTAGTCAGGGTCCGCGGGTCCATCGTGTAGGGTCCAGTGTGATTAGTCAGGGTCCACGGGTTCATCGTGTAGGGTCCAGTGCGATTAGTCACGGGTCCACGGGTCCATCGTGTAGGGTCCAGTGCGTCGGGACCCGTGAGCTTGCGATTAGTCAGGGTCCACGAGTCCATCGTGTAGGGTCCAGTGCGATTAGTCAGAGTCCGCGGGTCCATCGTGTAGGGTCCAGTGCGATTAGTCAAAGTCCACGGGTCCGTCGTGTGGGGTCCAGTGCGATCAGTCAGGGCCCACGGGTCCGTCGTGTAGGGTCCACGGGTCCATCGTGTAGGGTCCAGTGCGATTAGTCAGGGTCCACGGGTCCGTCGTGTAGGGTCCAGTGCGATTAGTCGGGGTCCGTCGTGTAGGGTCCAGTGCGATTAGTCGGGGTCCGTCGTGTAGGGTCCAGTGCGATTAGTCGGGGTCCGTCGTGTAGGGTCCAGTGCGATTAGTCAGGGTCCAAGGGTCCGTCGTGGGTCCAGTGTGCGTCGGGGTCTAGGGTCCAGTGCGCGTCCACCGTCCCTTCAAAGCTGCGTGTGATTATATTGTAGTGTAGTGTAGTGTATTGATTGGGTGTAGAGACACCCTCAAGCCTCCGCTTGCGACGAAGCACGCGCCGATTAAAAGGTTCATTTGAGTATCGACGGAGCTCTGGAATAAGCCACTGGATTACCTTGTCTCATTCTATTCCCGTTTATGTCACCATCAGTCGTCACAAGGAGTGGACTTTTAAAAACAGATAATGCTAGAATGACTGTGGCTCGATGTCCCCTCCCTCAGGATTTCTCAAACTAATAAAGATAGAGCTCGCAAGAAAATGCCAGTGAACTGGTCTCCATGAGATCTTGCGATCGGTACTAGTTTGTATGTTGTTGGGTCAATAATTGACGCCAGTCTGCCGAGTCAGAGGCCATGAAAATTCCACCTTCAGCTTTATATCATGCATACGAGACTACGACTCGTGGCTACACGAAACATAAACAGACTTGTTTATTGTTCATTTCTGAGTTCAATGGTGTTTTTTGTGCTTTGAGCGTGCATTTAGAACATTGGACATAGCTTTGTCAATACAACAGCGCCGGCCCGCCGCGTGCGTTCCGCGGCACCGTCGGTTGTGTGGCCCGCCGCGTGCGTTCCGTGGCACCGTCGGTTGTGGCCCGCCGCGTGCGTTCCGTGGCACCGTCGGTTGTCGCCCGCCGCGTGCGTTCCGCGGCACCGTCGGTTGTGGCCCGCCGCGTGCGTTCCGCGGCACCGTCGGTTGTCGCCCGCCGCGTGCGTTCCGCGGCACCGTCGGTTGTCGCCCGCCGCGTGCGTTCCGCGGCACCGTCGGTTGTCGCCCGCCGCGTGCGTTCCGTGGCACCGTCGGTTGTCGCCCGCCGCGTGCGTTCCGCGGCACCGTCGGTTGTGGCCCGCCGCGTGCGTTCCGTGGCACCGTCGGTTGTCGCCCGCCGCGTGCGTTCCGTGGCACCGTCGGTTGTCGCCCGCCGCGTGCGTTCCGTGGCACCGTCGGTTGTCGCCCGCCGCCTGTGGCGGCCGTAGATTTCCGCGCAGTACTCTTCAAAAACCTCCAACCTCCTGAACCAGACAAGCTAGGGCGCCGAAACGTGCGCAGTGAATGTCGCATACTACTAAGCCGCTGAAAATTTGGGCGCAGTTGCACAATAAGCCGGACGGGTACCTACAAAAACCGTGAGTCGCATCGAGCTTCCCTGATCAGAGCGGAGGTTAAACCTCGGTTCTTCTGTATAGCTTGAACGACGTCGTGGTGCTCAAGGCCATGTAACTTTAAACAACGCTGAAGTTATCAACTTATTAGCGTACAGCATCGCGCGGGAATTATGTATGCAGCAGTTCTTACCCCTTGTCATAGATGAAGATATGGTAGTTGCCCAGTTTATTGCCGTTTCTTCATGGCTTCATGCTGTAGAAATGTTACGACTTCTAGCTGATTTTTAAGTCGTGTCAGGCCAGGTAATCATCAAATTCAGTTACAATATAAGCGAGTCGTACGCTGAGGTTAACTGTAAAAGCTGAGTTGAAGTTACCAAGTAACTATGTTGAAACATGCAAGGGTTCTTTTCTTTACCTTTACCTTTACCTAAGGCTTTACCACAAAATGAATAATCACCTTACTGCCTTCACATACCACTTTTCTCACGATGGTCGCAGCATTACTCCACAACTGACATCCATTTAAGTTCCTAAAGCGGTGAAATGGTCATTGCTGGCTTATATGACTGTAACACAACACGAAACTATGATATGTAATCGAATTTGTCCCATTTACGCATTGATTTATAGGGAGTAAAGGCATGCTGCAGAGCATCAATCCAGTCATGTGCCTAATCACGGGCTGAAAGCAAACACCCGGTGAACATGTGGCAATGCACATCCGCGGAATACACCGGGGCGGTCGTCGGACCCACGTCCGACAACAGCGACCTGAAGGCTTGCGAGGTTCGAGAATCCGGACATGCCGCCAGAGTTGATGCCATGGCATGGCTACTGCCGCGGTGAGGCCACCTTTGACCAGACGGCCTCCGACGGCCCTCCTAGCATCCGGCTTGTGAGCAGATCATGACTGCAAATATTCGCTGATGGCAGACGTCATGCAGCGCGCTCAATTCAAGACAGACTGAGAGAAAGCCAACCGTGAACAACATTGCAGTTAAGGAATGAGATGGCCAACGTCTAGTTAAGGAGTGCTGACGCGCAGTGGTGTGATGACTTGCCCCAAGCTCCAGCCGATGTGCACCTCCGGCATGAGTACTGGCATGAGGCTGTTGAATCTCCGCACGCAGGTCTTCAGCACAACTCTCACCGGCAGCATGGCAGGCGAGGTGCGCTGGCAACTGTGCTTGTCGCCCTGATATCCGGCCCCGAGAGCTGCTGTGCTCCGCTGGCGCGTGTCCGGCGTATACACATCATGCGGATTATCGTCTATATTATTTAACTATGCCAATTTCAATTTACTTGGCATACTACAGTCAACGTCTACTGCACCGATTGTCGTGGATAGTCGGCAGCACTCTGGCGTACTGTATACCCTGATGCAGTGCACGGTGCAGTGGCATGGTGCAGCACACGGGGCAGTGACATGGTGCAGTACACGGGACAATGCCTGGTATAGTGCACGGTGTGCGTGTGCGTGTCAGTGACGGTGGGAATAAAGTATTCAGCTTTACCGCATAAATTGCAAGCGGTAATGCGTAAGATCTTGTGAGTAAGTGACCCAGCTGTCTCCGCCACCGTGGCCTCTGGAGCCTGGGCGGACACGTCCGCAGCTAGACGGCGCTCCGACATATGTGCCCGGCGAGTTCGTTTGGGAACAACTTCCGCCGCTGAAGATTTAGCATCATGGTGATGTCTGTCATGTAATTGGCTGCTGCTGGAATTTAAGAGACCGGTTCTATGGAAGCGGCTGTAACATACCACGAGTTTGAAAGACACGGATCATGTGGGAATGTCGAGTCTGTCTAAATCAAAAGTGACGAGCCGGCAACGTGCGCCTAATTGGTCTTCATCGTATTTGTGCTTTTGGCTGTGTTGTTGACCGCTTATTGTTTATCCTTCCCTCTTCACACCCGCTATCCACATCTGTCGAGCGGTCGGGGCAATGGCCGCCTGTTGGCTGACGGACTCCTGATTGTCAGCCCTTCCTTACGTTACCTGTGACTCCAGCCTAGACTCTGCATTATTTCATCCCATCCTGCATCCTCACAAGCTATCCTTGTGTCAACGTTACCATAAAAGCCAGCATAGGCTTTTGTATGTAATTTTAGCCTTTCCATAACATGTCCTGCGGCTGTCATATGAAACAACCGACCAGAAGGCTGGCCACATATGGATAGGTTCGAACGTTGGGTATTGCTTGATCATATTCAGGGGTGTCAATCTTTAAAAATTAATGGGGCGCCGAACCGAAGGCCCGATAACCTACTCCCCCCCCCCCCCCTCCTTTTCTCACAGGACTTATCCCACTTTAGTCTCATTAAGCGCAGCATACGTTTTTAATCTTTGTATAATTTACAGAAGTCTTTAATCTAAGCAGTATGGAAGTCATGCAGTGTTGGATACAGGAAGTGCGCACGCGTTTCCTCTGACGAGCACGTGAAGGCGCCCCTTCAGAGGCCACCTTGGGTTGCCGATGGCGCTCTGCTATGGCGGTCATGGGAGGCTGCAAGCATTTTGGTTGCGAGAGACAGGACGGGGTTGGCCACGAAGGACTTAAGTCATCCCCATTTTCCAGGGCTTTTCGCTTTAACCTCACAAACCACTGCATGTCTTATGGCGCTAGGCATGTGAAGTTTCTTGCATCGTTTATCCGCTCAGCTGTTGCGATTTTTATCTTGTGGCGAGGGCAGCCATGACTTTTTGTTGTGAGGGTGGTAATAGACGCCACTACGCAGGAAGATCAAAGAAGATAATATTGGAGTTTTGATCATCTTTTACCCACGCTTTTTTGTAGTATTCAAACCAAAAACATGGGGGGCCAAGCCCACTTGGGGGAGGGGGCCCAACTCAACATTGGGGAAGGGGCAGGGGCTTCACAAAAGAATGCAAATCGACACTCGTAATAATACTCCTTTAGAGCTATGAAATGCGCGAGGTCTGGCTCCCGTACTCGGTCATAAATTATTTTGAGATCAAACCATGATTTAGCCAAACTGATTTTAAGGTGTTATTGACGCCACCAGTGGCCTTAACAGCCTTATAAAATTTCAAAATAATGTATAACTACCCTAGATAAATGCCTCTCAGCATGTCCAGAGAAACGAGGTTCGATTCCAAACGGTGCCCGCTTCTCCCGCTAGGGT